TCCTCCTCCTCCTCCTCCTCCCTGCAGAGACGGACACATGCAGCTCATCATGCAGAAACACCTCCGCTCGGCTGGTGTCGGCAGGCGGGAGGGAAGACACCGGCGGCGCTCGGCTCGCTGCAAAGACGCCCAGATGGTGAGAAATAGGTTTTGTCTGTTGTCACCTCGTGTTCCGGCGTCTAAACAGAAGCTTTTCTCGCTTCCAGCCGCCTCGTCGGCCACAGCGACGGCGAGGAAGCAGCTTTATGGGGGTTTCTGTCCAAACTGTGAGTCCCCACCGTCGATGCTCCTCAAACTGTTTGGTTCTGACCGTTTTCAGAGGACACAGGAGGTGAAATGGGTCCGGAACAGCCTCGGACCGGTCCAGAACATGGCTGCAGGGGTTCTCCAGCCCAGCAGGTCTGGGAACATCTCAGGATCCTTCAGGAGACGACGGACGGCGTTATGTAAGACGGAGGCTGCCTCGTTTTTCTGCTGCCACCTCAGGAAATGGCACAAAAGTGGTCAAAAGGATGAAAAATGAATGAAACGGGCGCATTAAGGGCTGCAGAGTTTAACTCCAACGGATTTCACATCCTGTAGCCTCTGAGAGCATAGAGTCAATGAGAAGAACATGTGAAAATGACAGTTAGCACGACAGTTAGCCAGCAGTTAGCCTCACAGTTAGCACAACAGTTAGCATGGTAGTTAGCCTCACAGTTAGCACAACAAATGCCAGCAGTTAGCACGACAGTTAGCCTGACAGTTAGCCTCACAGTTAGCCACACAGTTGGCACGACAGTTAACCATCAGCTAGCACGACAGTTAGCCTGAGTTAGCCTGACAGTTAGCCTTACAGTTAGCATGAAAGTTAGCCTGACAGTTAGCACAACAGTTAGCACGACAGATAGCCTGACAGTTAGCCCCATAGTTAGCATGGCAGTTAGCCTGACAGTTAGCCCCACAGCTAGCCAGACACTTAACCTGACAGCCCAACAGTTAACCCAACAGTTAGCCTAATAGTTAACCTGCTCTGGACCAGGTTAGCTTCCCATCACAAGCTGTCAGAATGATGTTGAATTTACTTTATGGACCTGAAATAACAAAGTCAGGCTAAATAAAACAAACCTGGTTTATTTGGTGACCTCGCCTCATAGAACAGGCCTCAGGACTGTTGAGTCTTTAGAAGATGTAGGCGTGTGTCTGCCTCGTTATTCTGCTGCCACGGCACAAAATGGCACAAAAGTGGTCCAACGGCTGGATTTGGTGTCGCAGGGTTTAACTATAGTTCATTGTTTGCATCTCATAATCTGGTCGGTTGTGGAGTCGATGAGAAGAACATGTCAAGGTTCTCACAAGATGGAAGGAACTGATGGAAACCTGATTTTCCAGAGTTGTAGGTCTCCTAAACACTGTGGAGCGGCTTCGTTGGTCTGCAGGAAGAACACGTGACGTCTTGAACATTAATTTAAAATCACAAAAGTGCAGAAAAGCACCTAAAGTCCTGCAGTCCTGAAACCTGTAAAGTCTGTTTTCCGTGTTCTGAGCCCACTGAGTCCGTTGGTTTCCACATTAAACGTGGACTCAAACAGGTCCGGGTCCATCTCAGGTGCAGCCTTCAGCGCTCTGGACTGATAAACCCTTGGTCCTGCTGCGCATTCAGAGCATGTCGCAGTAAAATAAGTCAGACAAATGTAAAATGTCACTGTACAGCTCCGACACAGGCCCAGAAATGATCCTAACAAATGTCAGCATCAGCTAACCTTCACGCCCGGTGGAAGCTGCCATCTGATCAATTACTTCCTGCGGCCCGCCGACCTTTAGCATCGTTTGTTTAAAGGAGAATCACGTCTGATTGGCTCTAATTTCTCTGCTCCAGCTGCACGTTGGTCTACAACAAGCAACAGGTGGAGACGAGTTCATGGATCTGCTGATCGGCGGATTTCTGGAGCTTAATGGAGAAACAAAGACGACTGAAGCAGACGAGAAGTCCTGAGCTACTGAAAATCAGATGTTAGACACTGACTCCAGATCAGTTCCACATCCTCAGTCTGAACATCTGGACACTGGACCTGCTGACTCATGAGAAACTGAACAGATTTCATTTTCAGCATGTTTTGGTGAAACCTTGATCCATTTCTGACAAACTTTTAGTCACTGTGAACAGTTTTTAAGCCCCGTTGGTCCAAGTTTTGGTGGATTTTGTCAGTTTGGCAAATATGGAGACATTATGGAGTCACAGAAACCATCACTGGTACCCTGGATGTGGTTCTGGTTCTGATCAGTCACCAGAGGAAACTTTACAAAGTGCATTCTGGGTAAACATTCCAGGCTCATGTCAGCATGTGTGGTGGTGGTGGTTGGTCAGAACCAGTTCTAGACGATGGAGGGACCGTTTTACCTCCAGAACCCACCAGAACCATCTGTAAACACGGTTCAGTCTGATAAAGGTAAAATATAAATGAACACAAAAACGTATAAAAACAAAAAGAGAGAAAGAAACGGACACGAAATGAAACAAAACGACCACAAAAGATGAAAAACGAAGAGAAAGAGACAAAAAAAATGTCCAAAAACACACAAAATGAACCGAGAAAGACAAAATAGAACCACAAAGAGGTGGAAACTTAACCTAAAGAGACACAAGATAAATACAAAAAGATGCAAAATGACCAGAAAGAGACACAAAACAACGGAAAGACAAAAGATAAACGAACAGCGACACCAGACAACCTGGACAGATGAAGCCCGACCCGGTTCGTCCTCTGAACTCAGAACAAAAAAACACAACAAGTTTCCTTTAGTTCACATGAGTTCTGTTTCTGACGTTTGACTCGGTTCGTCTACGGCATCACCAGATCAAACCTGACGGACGTTTAGCAGAGATCGGGTCGGTGAGCGAGGTGAACGCCGCCTCATCTCGTCTCCGTCTGATTCGGGTCTTTGTCTCGGCGGCGGATGAAGCTCGGTGAAACCCAGAATCCTCCCTCTGTGGGATTCATGATGAAACCGGCTGAAAGACAACACGTTCAGCCTTGTTTGTCCATCTGTCACGCGCAATATCTGGACGGCTGATTGGATTAAGACTTCCATTCTCCTCCGTCCCGGCGCCGCGGCGCCGCTCCGTCTCGTCTCGAAACGAGTCGAATTGGAAACGAGCTGAGATGATTTCACACCGCGAGCAGATTTTTAAAGAAAAATAAGTTTGCCGAGGGCGCCGCGTCGGACCAATCGGCACGTTGAGACGATGGAACAGGACTCGAGAGATGCGGTTCTGACACGATCCGGAGAGTTGATGCGTCTGGTTCTGGCTGTGATTGGCCCGGCGGGAAGCGGCGCGCACACGCTCAAAACAACAAGCCGCATTAGTCAGCGACCATTTGCTCGCCTTTTAGCTGCTCGCATCGAGCTTCAGACGAGTCGTGTGCGACCACGGAGGCTGGCGGCTGAACGGAGGCTGAACGGAGGCCGGCGGCTGAACGGAGGCTGAACGGAGGCCGGCGGCTGAACGGAGGCTGAACGGAGGCTGGCGGCTGAACGGAGGCTGAACGGAGGCTGGCGGCTGAACGGAGGCCGGCGGCTGAACGGAGGCCGGCGGCTGAACGGAGGCTGAACGGCGACGGCGTTCTGCAGCATCTTCAGGAACATGAAGGCTGGTGGAAGCAGGGAAATGTCATTCTGTGGAGGAACATGAGCTCAGAGCAGAGTCTGGTGACTGAAGGCATTTATTATGATTATTTGGGGAGATGGAAGGAGTCGGAGGCTGGACGGGAACAATCACAGGAGGAACCAAACATGGAGGAAGCGTAGCAGCAAACCTGCAGCTCTGGAGGATCGAATCTCCAGGTCGGGTCCAGAGTCTGAGGACAGGAAGAGTTTGTAGGTTTTTATTTCACCTCAGACGTGATGAGACTCGTCATGAACACGTCTGATGTTCATCTGCTTCCTGCTGCTCCTCGTTGGTTCCTCTGCTCCAACCCCGACGCCTCAACTAAAGAACAAAAACTCTGTTTAACTGCCATTTATTCAACAGTTTGATGTCGTACAGTTTCTTCCTGTTTGGTCAAATTACAGATAATCACTACTAACATAATAATGTTAAAAACAAAAAACAGGTTCAAGGTCAGTCATGTGTTTTACAAACAGAAGTGTTGTTTCACTATGTGTGACTGTAAAACTAGAATATTAGTGTTTTTATGTTTTTGCTCCTGATTTGCTGCCGACTTGGTTTTACAGATGTTTCCAGATGTTGTGGTGTTTAATGTGATCAGTAAGGAGCAAATATGAACCGTTTACCTTCACAAACATCAGGACGAGCTGTAATTTTATTAGATTTTCCCTTTTTTGTTTTGAAATAAAGATAAAAGCTTTTAAAAACCACAGAGAAAAGAAGTCATTTGTTATTTTACAAGAAAAAATCTGCATATTAAGGATCAAACAATGAATTTCTTTTACATTTTTACAGATTTTTTAAAAATGTTTTGTTAAATTAAAGATTAAAACTTGTGATTTTACAAACAGAAGCTCCGTCTGAGTGTAAAATCATTTAAACGATCTTAGAAAACCATCACTTTACAGATATTTGTCATTTTCCTGGAAACATCTCCCTCCCTTGAGGCTCCGTGAAGACGTTGGATCGCCGGGTTTCATCCTCCCAGCAGCTCCTGGAAACACTGAGGCGGGAAATCTGAACCGGGAATTTGCTCTCCGGATCGGTGGCAGGTGGAGACGGGAAGCTGGAACCGGGCTCTGAGCGGCTCTGAGCGGCTCTCGGGACTTGACTGATGACATTTCACTCCAACACGTGGACAGATGAGGACGCAGATTGAGGCGGGCCTTCGGGACGGCGCAGAACGACGCGATGAAGCCGAGAGGAGGACGATAAGACGGGAGGAGGGACGACCCGACCGGGGTAATGAAAAGGAAATGAAATGAAATAAAGGAGCGACGATAACGAGGAGGCCGCAAAGAACGCGGCGCCGGCGTACGCGTGCCGGTCGGACGGCGAGGCCCGACATGATGGATCACCCAGGATTCACTGGGACGTCAGCACAGCGTCCCGGAGCCTCGGAGACGGATGGAGATGTTGGAGTCGCCGTGTACACAGTCTCGTGCTCTTTGCTCTTCGCCCGGCCATCCATCATGATTTTGAACTCATACGCCGCCGCCGCCGCGTGTACACACATCCATCAGCGACGCACTCAGCAGGACTGAGAGCAGGAAATCGGCCATCTTTCAAATCAAACAACCGGCAGCCGAGTCTCAGAGGAAGAAAAATGAATAAATAGATGAATATTTAAAGCCGTCGCCGGCCTTCATCTGCAGATCCGTATCGTCTTGACATTTCTTTTAAATGCTGCATTCGAGATTATCAAACAATCGCTTCTCATTGAGTCACTTAACCCCGCCAACCGAGAAACCCGCTGATTCGATATGAAAGCCGCGTTTTATTTTTAGAAAAATCACCAAAGTCACGTCGCGTATCAGAGACGGGAGCCGTGAGAACAGAAGGAACCCGAGAACCTTCAGCGGCGAGGGGAAAGAGAAACAGATCTGAGCTCAGGGATCATTTGATTTCATATGTTTTAGAATAAAAACCGTTTCCATCAGATCCTTAAAAAAAATAAGTAAATAAATTCTGCTTCAGCTGCAGCCAACATCTGGACCCTAGAACCCGGCTGTTCTGTTCTAACAGCTGGGTTCTTAAATGTTTAATAAAATGACACAATCCAAACGTATATTTAACCCTCAGAGCCACGAAACCCACCGACAGGGTTTGAAACTCAAGTTATCTTAAAAAAAAAAAATCACACAGTTTATCAGTGAAAAACTGAAACCAGACAGAACCACCGGATGTTCAGCGTCACTCGTCCAGTGTGACGTCCGGTTCTGACAGGAAATCAACCAAAGCTGTGAAATTTAATCAGATTCATTTTAAAATATGACAAAAATTAAACTAGTTTGACGAGTTTCTGCAGCTGATAAGCAGAGTGGAGAAAAAAGTCTGTAGAGGCTTTAAAAATGGAAAAATACACGTTCAAGATGACTCAAACTCATCCAAGTCGACTGAAATAATGTCCAACAACTCAAAAATTATCAGAAATTATTTTATAAAAAGTGTCCAAATGAGCAGATTTGTCCAAAATGATTTAAATTTTATCAAAGACGACTCAAAATTATATTATTTTTATTATTATTATCCCAAAATGGTTAATTTTGTCAAAATTAATAAACAAATGAATGAAAATGACTCAGAAATTATTTCAAATGACAAAATGACTTATCCAAAATAAAAGAGGAAAATAAAACAATCTGACTAATGAACCAAAAATCATCTAAATGTCTCAAAACGTGTCCATAAGGATTAAAATAGAATATTAAAAATTATCCAAAAATGGCCTCAACTCTTCCAAAATCAATCAAACATTATCTAAATGTTTAAAAAGTTCTCCTTAATAATGACTTTTTTTGTCAAAGGTGTCAAAATGTCTCAGAAACAGCGTAAAAATGATTAAAAATCAACTTTAATCCTGCTCAGAATGATCCTGAGAGTAAAATCCAACCGACTGGGTCAATAAATAACTGCAGCACGGGTCAGAACCAGAGACCAGAGGAGCAGAGAGGAAACATCTGAACAGGCTTTATAATGCAAATGTATTCAAAGGGACTCCAACGTTGTCCAAAATGAGGCAAAAGACTTGTTCAAAAAGATTCAGAAAGTGATGAAAGACGACTCAAGACTCGTTCAAAACGACATAAAGTCCCTGAAGATCGCTGAACATTTCCCTAAAACGACCGAAAGTCTTGAATCAAAGGTGGAGAGAAAAGGTCTGGAGAGGCTGGACCAGTGAAGCTGTCCATCATCAGAATGACTCAGAATGGGTCCAAAGTGACACGAACTTGATGGAAAATGGTTGAAAAAGTTGTTAGAAGTGACTCAGAAGAGAGAAAACGTCTCTAGAGGCTGGAGACATGGAGACGGTTCAACATCTGGAGCCTCCATCAAGTCCACTTTGTGTCTCTGGGTTCTGTCTTCGTCTTCAAGCTGCTCAGAGCTGCAGGACTTCATCCATCCATCATCTCTACACCTTCATCCTCACTGGGGGGGCGGAGTCTATCCCAGCTGACTCAGGGTGAAGGCAGGTTCACCTGGACAGGTAACCAGTCTATCACAGGGCTACACTTAGAGACAGACAACCAAGCACACTCACATTCACACCTACAGACAATTTACAATCACCAATTAACCTCAGCATGTTTCTGGACTGTGGGAGGAAGCCGGAGAACCCGGAGAGAACCCACGCTGCACGGGGAGAACATGGAGACTCCACGCAGAAAGATCCCGGGTGTCCTCACCGGGACGCCAACCGACGACCTTCTAGCTGTGAGGCCACGGTGCTAACCACTGATCCACCGTGCAGCCCCAGCAGGACTTCATGTTGCAGTGAAACCGTCCAGGAGCTACGTGGAGTTCTTCTGTGGAACCGTCCTCTTGGTGCCACCACCTTCCAGTCGGACTGATTCGACCCCTCAGCTGGGCATCCCACTGGACGTCTCTGTGGCTCCGCCCACTTCGCCGCCGCGTCCCGAGCGTCTCCCGCGCGCAGCATCGTAATCAAATCAGCCGGTCGACTGTGAGTGTTTGCAGGAGTCGTGCTGCGCGGCTTCCAAATGTCAGGCCTGGATTGATTTCTTCTCCCTCTGATTAATTCATCCTGCGCTCTAATGTTCTGCATAGAAAACTGTTGAGCGGCATTCAGCCAGATTAAAACCACAAACAGCGCTTTTCATAATTTGACAGGTGATTGGCGGGAGGCAGACTCCTGCTTGATTGCATCATTAGGGGAGGGTTTTTTTCCCAAAGGGGAATTAAGCGCACCATCAGCCTTTTCCTTTTTTCCTTCTACGTCCGTGTGGCCTCGCTCGAACACGCCTGTCAGCTCACTTAATAACTGGCTCACACGCTACTCCGGGGCAGGAACACGGCTGATTGTTGTCTGAGTGTTTCATCATCTCACATAATGGATGCACTTCAATTTCAATAAATGCATCAATCTGCAACCGCTGAGCGTCAATAAAAGGCCCCGTCTAGTTTAAAATCACTCATGTTTCAGCCTCACCGGCGAAGCGGTCCACAGGAATATGTCTGCAGCTGCCTGATGGACCCACGTCAGACCGGAGCCGGACGACGGAGCGCCGATCTGCAGCTGGATTCACCAGAAACCATGATGGAATCCAGAAGACAGAGGAGCCAGTTGATGGAGATACATCCAGCATGGAGGAACATCTTTCTAC